TTGCAAAATAAACGAATATTGTTAATGAATAATATCGATGGTCAAAGAAGAGGAAGAAAAAGATGAAAAATAAAAAAAAAAAAAAAAGAAAAAGAAAAAGAAAAATAAAAAGAAAAATAAAAAGGATAAAATCGAACTTTCACCATGGCTTTCTCTCTTATGCGCACCCGTTATTCCGCATTCTACACGATGCAATTGATAATATTTTCTTTATTTTTAATAGTATTTCGATAGTATTGATAGTATTCTTTTTTTCTTTTTTTAATAACAATCCGATAAATAATATTTACTTTTTTATCCCTTTCCTTTTTTTTTTTTTTTTTTTTTAATATATTTAATTTTTTTTCTCTTTCTTTTTTTCTTTCGTTTGACAACAATTCAAATTTTCAAATAATTAGTTCTCGAATAAGTAATCGTTTTTCTTAACGAATAACACTCTAGATCGTTCTCGTTAGCCCAGATTCCACGTATCGGACATTTATCAAAATAACGATCCATCCACGACAAAGCATTTTACGAGAACGTATCGGTCTCGACGTCGATAAGAAACGATGATCGATCGCCAGCCCCAACGATGAGTTTTCCTTCTGGAACACCTGAATCGCGACTAGCACAAGCTACGGGATTCAACCGTTTTTCTCCTTTTTTTTCTCTCTTTCTCTCTCTCTCTCTCTCTCTCTCACTTTTTATTTTTTTTTTTTTTTTTTTTTTTGTATTTTTTCCTTTCTTCTTTTTTCTTTTCTTAAATAAAATTCACCTGATCGATGTGACAGGTACGAATTAATCGAAATTTATATAAAGTAGCTTCAAAATGAAACACGATCCCATCTTAAATACAATTTTAACAGATATTTTTAACAATTCGTTTAAATAACAATATGTATACATAAACATATATATATATATATATATATATATATATATACATATATGTATATGTGTTGTTTAGATCGACATTCTTTTTAAAAATTTATCGACATTTTAAAATAATATCATTTGATATTTCTTATACGAAGAGGATAAGGAAGATTAAGATGTCGTACGACATATTCTACTTTGTAGCGACGTTTAACCTTATAAAACCTTAAGTGACGTACCCATAGGCCAGCATCAAAGGCTGTCTCGGTGATTCAATCGCGAGCGGATGTTTCTACTTGCGGCAAAAATTCCCATCGCGAACGAGCTGAGCCTGTCGTCTCTCCTCTGCCATTTCATTACTATGTTTCTTCTATGAATATATATACGTATGCATATATACATATATAATATATATATATATAATATATATATATATGT